TTACCTCAGTTCTGTTTCCCCATTCCGTGTGCATTCTCAGTTTGTATTTCGTTCAAGTTTAATTTATTCATTATAATTTCTTTCAATTGTCTAGTGTGTGTGGTTTTCAGCAACCATTTGTTTCAGATCATTTCGAAGGGTCTTGATCTTTGATGACGTGGAGTGTGACGAGTCGTTCGTAGCGGGAATTTCAATCTGTGACTTGGGCGTTATGGCTAAAGTAGCACTCATTTTGCCCTATTTGTTTTTCAAAAACTTTTATTTATCCAATAATCAAACAGAGAACAAAACATAAATAAAATACAAAAGACAATGATAACCAAAGTAAACTTAACGAAATGTAAAACCTTAACTTAAAATTTGAACTGATTAATTAATTCTGCTAGAGTGGAATATTTATAATAGAGAATGATGGCTTCCATTTGTATTGTTTACTGTCATTTAGGAAGAGGGCGCTTATTCGAGGAAAAAATAATTTGAGAAAGGTGTTTATTCCAATTAAGACTCTGGTGAGGCAGGGCGTTTATTCGAATAAATAAGGTAATACAGAAACAGTTTTGCCTTAAACAAAAAGAACCTCCCCCTCCCAAAAAGGAATAAAGTATAGCATACATACACACAATACATAGGTTTTTACTTCTTAATAAAATGTAGATAACTCATAGGCCTATGTCAAAATACATAATAAATAATATAATATAAATATATTTTTATTCCTTTTATTTTTGCTATTTCTTCTTTCTTTGTTGTAATAATAAAAAGTACACATTCAAAGCACAATAAAAATGTTTAAAAAAAACTTTTTTGTTTATATATATAAACGATAAAATAACACAATCTAATGTCCCGTTAACAATCTGTTATGAACAAATTGCCTTAATTTTAGTCTGTATTTTTACTTATAGACGAGCATTAAAGTATAGAAGACTTCATTTTTCCAGTTGATATTGAGAGTGTGGCAATCCGTTTTGACGTAGTTCGGAAATGACTTCCTTACTCACTAAATCTCATCATGCATTTTTCAACAACTGATGTCACAGCTTTTATATATTTAAAATAATCAACAACACAGATTAAATTGTTATTAAGTGGTGTATGATGAACGTCTGTCCGCTGATAGCCAACAGATGGGATTTCTGCAGTGAAAGACAGCACAAGATATAAATCCTAAAATACGGACACAAACAAGGCTACTGATTCATGTAAATGTACATAATCACATAAATGATATTCAGAGACATGTACACTAACGTAGGCCTATACACTATACAGGCACAGTTGGGGACCGGCACACACACGACAAACACACACAGTCTACGACACACACATTTTACCTACACATTTTAAGACACACACATTTTACACACATTTTGCCTACACATAATGGCCTACAGATACATTGGAAATGAATGCAGAAAGACACAATATTCTTCCTGCAAAATAATCACTTAATAAAACGACTTTTCGACGACAAAAATCATTTCAAACTAATAGCATTATGTCACATTATTTCGTTTCTCCACATAAAACAGTCTGCTAACAATATAAATGAACCATAAAAGTGTACCAAACGCAGTAAAATGTCACGATGACGTTGCTATAGAGAAATAGGTTTGTGTTACCGGTTGTTAAGGTAACACGAATGAAGGAGTGTCAAAACCAAACATAATAGAGATAAGCCCCGAAACTGTCTTTCGGTAATGCTATAAATATAATTATATAAATACATTTTGAACGTTAAAGAAGAGGAATCTGCTGTCTATGCACACACACACACACACACACCAATATATATATATATACATATATATATATATATATATATATATATATATATATAAAATTAAAACGGAACAGTAGATATATATATATATACTTTATGTTCTCTCTGATACGACAAAGTAGGCCTAACTAAAATAGCGATATTTAGCATTGTTGCACAGAATTCACATTGAAAACGACCCAAGTGGCGCCTCATACATTAGTCTGATACCTAAAGGCTATCTTTGCAATGATAAATAGCTCGCTCCCAGTACGTGGTGTTCACAGTGTATTCTTTTACGAAATGAGGTATCTGTTTTACTAAGATTATGTGACGTCGATTGTATCAAAATACTAAATGTTATAATCCTTGTAGCATTACCCTAGAATAATAGGACGTACAGACAATTGGTAAACGTTGGCTTTCTGTAGTTTACTGCATAAAATTCATTATAGCATTATTTTTGAATATCATTTAATGATCATAGTATCTAGATGCTCACAGGCTCCTCTAGATGCCGCACAGGTTTTGACGACTAGATGCTGCACAGCCTTTGACGAGTATTAAAGTAGAAGTATCAGTACCGGGGGAGGGGGTCTTCTCGTCAGGGAGGGATCCCCCCGCCCCGGTCGGGGAGAAAAACCACAACTCGTAGTGGAAAATTGTATATGTATTTTATACATTATTTGTAGACCCAAAATCGATTAAATAAGCCTTTAAATCTCCTAAATATATTTTTCGGTCCCCAATGGAACATTCGACAGACGTTGATAGACGCCCGACGAAGCCCACTTTTTTCGTCAGGGAAATCTTCCCCCCCCCCCCCCCCC